ATCATCACCACCACCATCATCAGCATCATCATCGTCATCATCAGCAGCAGCATGAGCATCAACATCATCATCATCATAATCATCATCACCACCATCACCATCATCATCATCATCATCATCATCATCATCATCAGCATCATCATCCATCCTATGAGTCCTTGCTTCTCCTCCTCCCCTTCCTCCTCCTCCGCACCACCACCACCACCGCCATCATCATCATCAGCAGCATCATCATCAACACCGCCACCATCATCATCACCATCATCATGATCGGCATCAGCATCAGCATCAGCCTCAGCATCATCATCATCATCATCATCATCATCATCATCATCAGCATCATCAGCATCATAATCAGCATCATCGTCTTAATCCTCGTCCTCATCCTCGTCATCATCCTCCTCCCTCCTCCCTCCTCATCCTACTCTTCCTGCTGCTCCTCTTCCTCCTCCTCCTCCACCTCCTCCTCCGCCTCCTCCCCATCCTCTCCATACTCCCTCTTCCCTCCTCCCTCCTCACTTCTCCCTCCTCCCTCTCCCTCCTCCCGCCTCCCGCCTCCTGCATCCCGCCTTCCGCCTCCCGCCTCCCTCCTCCCGTAAGTCGTGAGTTGTCCGTTGTCGGCGTCGAGGTCGTCCTCGTCGTCGTCGTCGTCGCCGTCGTCGTCGTCGTGTCAACCACCAGCATTTGGAGCCCTCGGATCGGCGGCACTGGCCAGAGGCCATTCAAGAACAATCGCCCCAATCCCTTGAGAACACGTCAGGGTGCTCGCCGTTTGGGTCTTCACAGCGTCAAGCCCTCCAGATACCTTCAAGACAGCGAAAGAGACCCCAAAGAGAGCCCCGAAACGGCCCAAGAGGACCGTGAGACGGTCCAGGAATCACCCAGACGGCCCCAGATGGTCCGAACAGAGCCCCAAGCGGCGCCCGAGAAGGCCAACTCCCAACGATGTCCCGAGCCCTCTGGCGCACGGCGCCCCCCGAGACCGCCTCAAAGCGCTCAAGCGAGCCCCGGCAAGGCCCAAGTGGGCTCAAAGACGCCCAATAGGGCTCCAAGAAAACCCCTGGAAGTCTCTACTCTGTTGGGGGGCGGCGGAATGGCGCTAGCCACTTGAATCCGCCCGCCCACCGGGCTGAGGGGCGTGTGGGACTTGATTACAGAGCTTCAGCCCCCACCCTTTTTCCCCCCCCAGAGGCCTCCGCCATTCCGCCGCCCGGCTGCGGCAATGCCCTTTTTCGGTTTCCAAAACGGCTCCACGACGGAGTCCAAGACAAGCTCGATCTTGGTATCGTTCTGAAGACGCTGCAGCGGCGCCTGTGGGCTCCATTTCGGCCCCGTCGGGGCCCCGTCTTGGCCTCCAATATCCGCTCCCGGAGCCCTCGACAGCGCCTCTTTGGCTCATTCTCGCCGACACGTGGGGATGTCCCAAAAAATAACAAATACTATGGTTTTGGCCTGATTTCGGCTTCCCCAGGGCTGTCCAGGACGCTGCTTACAATTGACTTCCGGGCTCGCGTGCGTCATTTTTCATCACTCCCTTTTGTTCGCCGTTTTTGGGCGCGCTCCGGGGTCCATTTTGGACGCTGCGGGGCCCATGTTGGGCCGCAAAACGGACCCCAAACCAGGTCAGACCCCGCCCGGTTTTTACTGCAAGACGGACGCGGTTGCGACCCAAGGCGGAAGTGCTGTCGCTTGAGCCGCCCTGGGCTTCCCCCAGACCGCCTCGGGGCCTTCTTAGCCTCTTTTTGGGCCCTTTTCGGGTTCCTCTTCGGCCCTTCTTGGCGCCTTGCCGGCCGGATCACCGCCAGGGCAACCGTCGGGGCAACCAACCGCTCGGGCAACCGCCGAGACTAGCAACGGGAAAAGAATCCGGGCAACCGTCGGGACAAGCACCCAGACATCTACCACGGCACACCTCGGGCCAGTCATCTGGTCAGCCATTGGAGAACCCACTCCAAGAGCCACCTTCCCTGCCATCGAATCAATCGACTGCGCAAGCGCGACAAAACCACGAGCCTGCCACGCCACCGTATGACACAAGCCCACCACGGGAGCATGCCGCCTTCCCTACCATCCGATCAGTCGACTGCACAAGCGCGACAGAACTACGGGAATGCCACGCCACCGCATGACACCAGCCCACGCCACCTCTTGAAGCCCTCTGAGAGCCGTCTCAGGGCACCGGGAGCATTCTCAAACGCCTCTCAGAGCGCCCCAAGAATGTCCCAAGAGGACCGCCAGAGAGCGCCGACCGGGACCGTGCCCAGTCACATGATGGACAACGATCATTGGACCCCCCACCCGTTGATCGACATCCTCCGACATTGTCGCAAGACCTTCCAAGAACTCTCGAATACTCCCAAATGGTGCCAAGAAGCGTCCAATGGCCCCAAGACGCAATACAAAGCCCCCAAGAGGCGCCCAACAGGCCCTGAGGCGACACCAGGAAGCCCCCCATGCTCCCATATGTTCTCCTACACTCACCAGCAGCGGCAGCACCACCACCAGCAGCGGCAGCACCACCACTGCGACCAGCACCAGCAGCAGCAGCACCACCGCCACCACCACTGACAACAGCAGCGGCACCACAAGCAGCAGCAGCACTAACACCGGCACCATCAGCACCAGCGCCAGCAGCGCCAGGAGCAGCAGCAGCAGAAGTAGGACCAACAGCAGCAGCGGCACCCGCACTGCACCGTACCACCAGCAGGAGCGACAACAGCAACACCAGCAGCAACACCAGCCGCAGCACCACCACCACTAACAGTAGCAAGTACGACAAACCTACTGTCGAACAGCCACGAGGCATGCCTGACCATAGTAGGCGATAGCATAGGAAGAGAGAACGCGGGACAAAAACAACAAAGCACACGATTTGTATGAATTCCTGCCTATGTTTATCCCGTCATGGAGCCGTCTTCGCCTCGTCTGGCGAGAACTGGAATGGGCGGACGGTGAACGCGAAGCGTCTTGAATGAAATTGATGAAGGCGTAGCCCTTCCCCACCCCCGTGCCGAATGTCGAGGGCACGTGGAGGAAATCCCACGTGCCCCTGAATCCCGTCTCCGCCAGCTTATCCAGCAGCTGGCCCTGCGTCACGTGCCTGGGGAGGTTGCCCAGCATCACGGTGGTGGCGCCCTCCTGGCCCATCTCGTGCAGCAGCCTATCGGCCCCCGAGCGCCTCGCCACCTCGCTGTCGCCCCTCGAGTCGCCCCCGTCGGCCATCGTCGGCTGCGCCGTCCCTTGCGCGCCGACGCTGCGCCTGACGGCGGGCGGCGCTGCCGGCGAGCCACCGGCCGCACCCACGGGCGGGGGGCTGCCAGCGACCAGGCCTGCCGGCAGAGGCTTGCGGGCCAGGGCCGAGGTGCCGGAGGCGTCGCCCCTCGCTGGCGCGACCTCCGCGCGCCGCGCTTTGCCCTGGCCTGCCGCGGTGGCGGCGGGCGGGCCTGGCTGCGCGGGCGGCGGAGGCGGCGGCGCGTGGGCCGGGACCAGCCGGTAGGTGACCGGGATGCGCTCATTGATCTCGGCCAGCAGCCAGTCGTGGCTGAGCTGGCCCTGGCGCACCATCTCCAGCACGACGGCGTTGATGGAGTCCGCGTCGCCGCCCGCCGCGGCGGCCTCGTCCTGCTCGCGCGCGTCGGGGTGGCGCGCTCCAGCGTCGCTGGGAGCGGCGTGTGGCCTGCCTCCGGCCTGCGGCGCCCAGCGGGGCCTCGAGGCGGCCTGGACGCAGGGGCCGAAGCGCGCGTTGACGTGCTCCGCTAGCACGCACGGGTCCAGCTGCCCGGCGTGGAGCATGCCCACCAGTTCCTCGAAAGGGCCATCTCCATCGCCCTGGTCAGCGCGGGCGTCGGGGCGCATGAAGTGCGCACCGAAGCGCGCAGCGACATGGTCCGCCAGCAGGCTCGGGTCGAGCTGCCCTGCGTGGAGCATGGCCTTCAGCTGCTCGAGAGGGTCCGCTTCATCGCCCTCGCTGGCTCGGGGGTCTGGGTGAGTGGGCTGTGGGCGTCGGCCTTCGACCTGCGGGCTGCGGGCACCAGCAGCGACAGCCGGCGCCGCGAGCGGACTGCGCGACGCGTGCGGCTCCTCGAGCCCACTGGGATTCCACGCGGCCGGGCTCGAGGAGGCTGGTGGGGCGGTGGACGGCAGCGACTCTGCCTGGGCCGGCTCCGCCGGCCCCCCCTGCTGCGGCGGCTGCCGCTGCTGCTGCTGCTGCTGCTGCTGCTGCTGCTGCTGCTGCTGCTGCTGCTGCTGCTGCACATCCTCGTCCTCGTCCTCGTCCTCGAAGGAGCACCCGTCGCCCATGAGGAACGCCGCCACCGCCTTCTGGATGTCCTGGCCGACGCCGCCCTCGGCGCCGCCCTCCTCCTCCTCCAGCCCTGCGGCGGGCTCCGCCTCTGGCGCTGGAGCGGCCTCCACCTCCGCTGCCAGCGTGGCCGCCGCTGCCCCTGCGCCCGTGCCGCTCTGTCTGGCGGCCACCGCGCCCGGCCACCCGTGCACCGTGGAGTCAGCGTGGCCGCCTGCCGCGGAAGGGGCCGTGGCGGCGGAGAGGGCCCTCGCCCCAAGCTTGTACTCCTGCTCGGCGCTCCACGAGTAGGAGAGGTGGGGAGGGCTCGCGCCGGCGAAGGCGGCGGGCAGCTCGGTCCTGCTGCCGCTGTGAAGTCCCGCGGCTTGCATGCAGGCGGCCATGCCGCTGAGGTACGTCTTCGCGTCCTGCAGCTTCCTCTGCGCCGCCTCCGCGGCCCTGAAGTGCTGCTCCATCTGCCTCTGTTGTGCAACAAACTCCTGCTCTGCAGACTCCACCTGAGCCAACGCGCGCGCAGCTGCCGCCAATGTCGACGCTGACACATCGGACGCAAGCGGCTGCTGCGAGCGGTCTGTGGGCGAAGGCATAGTCGCGGCATAATAGACTTGGGCTTGCTGCATCGCGCCCTGCTGTGGCATCAACTGCTGTAAAGTCGCCATGGCTGCCGTCATCGTGTTGGAGCCTGGCTGGAGGCCCTGCATCCATGGCTGCGACATGCCCTGCTGCTCGCCCCAGTGGTACTCTGCTGACTGCTGCTCCCAGCCAGGCTGCATCTCAAAATGCGGCTGCACGCTGTAGCTCCAAGCGTCCGGCCTCGCGCCTTGGCGACGCTCGTCTGCCATCGCGGACTCCCACTGCGCCTCGAATAAATGATCACCCGCGGTCCGAGTGATAAAGCTGAGGTAAGGTCGAATCACAGCGTGAGTCCACACGGCTTGAGCCAAGAATGCATGTGGATTGAAACACTGACAGCGATGTGTCGTTACCTTTCCAGGGTCGGGTGAGCCCCCGAAAGGATCAAACCGACCCCTGAATCTTCCTGGACAGGTCAACGGTGCCACTGCAAGGCCCTGAGAGGGTCCAGAACGGCCCAAAGTGGCCCCAACAAAAACCCCAAACAGTCCAAGGTCGGCCAAAGACAAGTCAAAGATGATTCTACAAGGCCACCTGGCGGCCCAAAGACGCTCCGCTCCTGGATGGCCTCAAGGCTGTCCTGGGTGACCATCAGGACCCTGAAGAAGACCCATCAGGCCCTTACAGGCTCAGCGTGTGAGGGGCGTGTCGGAATTTGGCGGGGGGCGCATGTAGACCCTGCCACTGGCGTCTTAGATGAAGCTCCCTATGGGGGCACGGAACGTGTGAAGGGCATGCCGAAATAGGGCGGAGGGGCGTATGTGAACCCTACTACTGGGGCCTTAGGTGGAGCTTGCTATGGGGCCACCACACGTGTGGGGGGGGTGTCGACATGGGTGGCGCGGGGACGCATGTGCACCCTGCCTCCTGGATCCTTGGGTAGAGCTCCCTATGGTGCCACGATGCGTGTGACGGGTGTGCCGGAGCGGGGCGGGGGGACGCACGTGGACCCTGCCACTGGCGCCTTAGATGAGCTTGGGGGCACGGAACGTGTGAAGGGCGTGCCGAGATGGTGCGGGGATACGCATGTGGACTCGGCAACCGTGGCCTTTGGTGGAGCTCCCCATGGGGCCACGAAACGTGTGAGGGGTGTGCCGAAATTCGACGGGGGACGTATTTGGAACCTGCGACTGGCGCCTTCGCTGGAGCCCCCTTTCGAGGCCACGAAACGTGCGGTGTGTACCGAAACAGAAACATGCGGAGGGCAGAACCAAGCGATTGGAGTTGGAGGAGGAGGAGGAGGAGGAGGAGCAGGAGGAGGAGTGAGGAGCGCGGAGCGCTGTTTCTTCAAAACGAGGACCCAGCACCACAGAATGGCTAGAAAAATATACGACCGAGGAGCCCCGCATACTGATAGCATGTCCTTCGTGCTCGTACCTTGTGACAGCCAGCGTACCCCCTGTGGTGTCGAGAAAGTGTCACACCTGCCGAGCTGTGCGACCCTTGCGCAGTTAGCGCCCCGACCTCAGGTGGTGTCTGTGCGTGATGTGTATATGATGTGTGTATGTGTGTATGTGTGTATGTGTGTACATGTGTGTATGTGTGCATGTGTCTGTGCTGCTTGGTGTGGTGTGTACGTATGGGTATGATGTGTTGTGCGCGTGCGTCTGGTATGTGTGCGCGTGAGAAGGAGAGAGAGAGAGAGAGAGGAGGGGAGGCGGGTGTGACACGCGGGAGCGACGAGGGTGGGAAGATTACTAGAAACACGCGTAACTTGCTGTGAACATCGATTGCTCGCCCTGAGGCCCAGGGACCCAGGGAATCCCCTTGCTTGGCGCAGGGGGGGGGAGAGGCTCTGGAGCCGAGGGTGCAACCGCGGCCTTCGTGGCGGCTGCAAGTTCAGTCCCCGGCAGAAGATTTCAATCTCCAGCGGAGAGGCCCGATCAACAGAAGCAGGCTCTATCCACGGCAGGAGGTGTTGAATCCCTGGCAGCCGTCCTGACTGCATGTCGCGTGCAAACGACATGTTGAGGCTCAAAGCGCGTGTACCAATCCTCAACGGGACCGCGCGAAGTTTGGGAAGACTTCCTGCCAAGGATGCACCCGAATGGAATGTTGTATCATCCTTCTGGTGGTGATTCGACTGGAATCAAATAGAATCCACTCGTTTTGGGCTTTCATTTGAAGCCAACAGGAAAATAATCGTTCGTGTTGGAATCCATTTTTATTCAGATCGGAATCCTGATGGAATCGACTGCGATTCCTGACCAGTGGATCCTTGTTGGAATCCGATTGGAAACCTATCGGAATACAATTGGATCTCTTCAATTTGGGATCCTATTGGAGTCCGACTGGGATCCTACTACTTGGTTCCTATTGGGATCCTGATGTAATCTCTTGGGGGCCATATTGGACATCCAATTGGAATCCTGATGGAATCCACTAGGATTCCTTCCTATCGGCATCCCACTGGAATCCAGCATGATTCCTTTCGAATGAAGTCCCCATGGAATCCAATTGAAATCGAATAGGACCCCTTCCTAATGGAATCCTATTAGAATTTGATAGGGTTCCAACAGGAAGGAACCATGTTGGAATACTATTGGGTTCCTGTTAGAACCCTTATGGGAATCCAATCATATTCCCATTGGGTTTTTTTAGTGGGTACTTCTTGGAGTCCGAAAGGATCCCCTGCCACTGGGATCCTCTATTGTGATCCGTTTGGAATCCAGCGTGGTCCCTTGCTTTTGGATTCCCATCGGAACCCGATTGGAATTCAACAGACCTCCTTCGTAGTGGATTCATATTGGGCTCCTACTGGGAGTCCAACAAGACCCCAGAACGCCCGAGTGGACCCCCGGGACCGCCCCCGGCCCCCGCAGCGGGGCCGCTGGGAGGTCCCAAAAGAGCCCCCCCCGAAAAGGCCTCGGAACGGCCCCCACGAGGCCCCAGCAGGCCTCCAAATTGCCTCCAAGAGGCTCCCCAGAGGTTTCCCAAGAGAACCCAACAAGCATCCAAGAGGCCTCTGACCCATAACGCGGGTACGGCGGCGGGAGGCGTCCCAGGCCACTAGGCGTGAATCCTTCTCACCATCACTGTCATAAACAACATCACAATGTCAATCATCAGCCTGAGCATCACCAGCATAGTCCTTCTCCTCATCGTTATCAACAACCACCATCACCATCACCATCACCATCACCATCACCATCACCATCACCATCACCATCACCATCACCATCACCATCACCATCACCATCACCATCACCCTCATCCTCATCCTCATCCTCATCCTCATCCTCATCCTCCTCATCATCATAATCATCCTCATCCTCATCCTGTATCTTACGTATCATCCTCCCTATTGCCCCTCAGTTTCCTCCAACTGCTCCTTCTCCTGCTCCTTCTCCTCCTCCTCCTCCTCCTGAGGGGAAGCAGGAGGAGGGAGGGAGAGGCGTGGGAGCGAGGGAAGGAAGGGAAAGAAAGAGGGTCCCCGAGACGTGCCAATGTGGAATCTCTCTTTAGACGAGGCTCCTGAGCGCAGTGTTTCGTGTCACGCTCGCCCGCTTGCCGGCGATGCTCCGTTGTTGGGAATGCGTGCCGCATGGTATGCCCAGATTTGGGAACGAGGCGAGGAGGGACGGGAATGGCCTGACCCTCCCTCCCTCCCTGCCGCCATCCCACCACCACCACCACCACCACCACCATTACCATCACCATCATCAGCACCAGCACCACCACCACCACCACCACCATCAATATCATTAGCAGCAGCTGTAGCATCACCATTCACATCAGTATCTTAAGCATCATCACCAACTGCGCTGTGGCAATCATCCTCAACATCCCGAGCCATCACCGTCATCAATGTACTCATCCTCATGGTGCCCCTCCTCATGATGATGATGATCATCATCATCATCATCATCATCATCATCATCATCATCATCATCATCATCATCATCATCATCATCATCATCATCATCATCATCATCATCATCATCATCATCATCGCCAACACCATTATCATCATCACCACCTGATCATCAGCATCGCCATCGTCATCGCCATCGTCATCGTCATCAGCATCAGGGAAGACTCTGCCACAATGCAGGCCCAAGAGGATTGAGAGTAAAGCGGCAACACTGACAGGAGATCATACGCCACTGCTCGGGCCCAAGAAGATTCAAGAGTCAAGCGGCAGCACGAGCAGGAAATGCTCCGCCACTGGCCGGGCCCAAGGGGATTGAGAGATATAAGCGGCAAAACCAACAGGTGGCCCACGAGGCTCTTCCAGGACGCCCACTAGGCCTCTCAGGAGGGCCCAAGAGGCGTACCACTGATATGGTGGTGCTGATATTCACAGAACGTCGGAGAACTACAATATAACCTTTGTAATTTTGGCACTGGGTATCCAAACCCTCTGCCAGGGATTGAACCCGTCTGCCTGAAATCGATTTCTTCTCCCCTGTGACGGGGTGATCCTCCTACTCAATCCTCCTCCTCCTCCTCCTCCTCTTCTTCCTCCTCCTCGACACCCAATCCTCCATCCTCCCCCTCCTGCTCGATCCTCGATCGTCCTCCTCCTCCTCCTCCTCCTCCTTCTCGATTCTCATACTCCTCGATCCTCCTCGATCATCCATCTTCCTCGACCCTTGACTCTCCTCGCTCTTCGATCCTCGATCCTCGACCCTCCTCGTCCTCCTCGACCCTCCTCCTCGCCCCTCCTCGCCCCTCCGTCCCCTCCTCCCCCTCGATCATCGAACCTTCTCCTCCTCCTCCTCCTCGACACTCCTCCTCCTCGATCCTCGGTCCTTCTCGATCCTCGATCCTGCTCGATTTCTCGATCCTGGATCTTCCTCCTCGATTCTCTTCCTCATAAAGATGAAAAGTCTGCGTATACTGGAACTACGAATAAGGAAACGGATAAGGATAAAGATACGGTAAGGATAAAAGATACGGATACGGATATGGTAATGAGAAGGATGAGGAAAAGGATCCGGATACTAAGAATGATAAGAATAAGACGCCAGGCCAAGGATAAGGATAAGGCTATAGCAGAAGGGTCGGCATAAGGAGAAAGATATAGACAGGGCTTTGAAAAGGTTCTCGGGAGGCTGCCGAGAGGCTCCTGAGAGAGTCCTGCGATTGGCTCCACACACACAGGGAGCCTCAGCTCGAAAATTCCTCCGAAGCCACTTAACACCAGAAATGAAGCGCGAGCTTCCCTTGCACGTACACGTCGTTCATTTCTGATCGTGCTCATTTCATCTCATTTCTAATTGTGCTCGTGTCTAATTGTTCCTGGTCCCCTAGTGGCCAGGAAGAGGCCCAGGATAGAACAATTAGAAATTAAAGGATCTTGGCCCCACAGAAAATCAAAGAACTTCAGATGAATTTGACATGAGCAACGTGTACCCCTCGATGCAGAAACAGGTGACGCCAAGCGTTCCTCATCGTGCCGCGCCCCCACCCCCTGGATGAGAGCACGGATCTCCCGCTCCGGGTCCTGAGGCGAGACGCGAGACGCGCAAAGGGAACCACCGGAAGTCTGGCACAAATGCTGCTTCGGGGGGCCCCGACGGGTGCCCGATGCCGTACAGCATCGACTCCAGGAAAATCAAGACAAAAAGTCTGTGGGCCCCTGCGGTGAGAAAAGCGACGACGTCGGGGGGCGGTGCCCAGAATGCAGGACGCAAGCCTCCGGGCTCCCAGGCGGGACCTCCCCTCCAGAGGAGGAGGAGAAGGAGAAGGAGGAGGAGGAGGGAGGAGGGAGGAGGGAGGAGGGAGGGGGAGGAGAAGGAGGGAGGAGGAGAAGGGGAGGAGGGAGGAGAAGGAGGAGGCGGAGAAGGAGGAGGAGGAGGAGGAAAGCGGAGGCGGAGGAGGAGGAGCAGGAGCAGGAGAGGAGGAGGAGGAGGAGGAGGAGAGGAGGAGGAGGAGGAGGAGGGGGGAGGAGGAGGAGGAGGAGGAGGAGGAGCAGGAGGAGGAGGAGGAGGAGCAGGAGGAGGAGGAGGAGGAGGAGGAGGGAGAAGGAGGAGGAGGAGGCGGAGGAGGAGGAGGAAGGAGAAGGAGGAGGATCTGAGCTCTGCGGGCTCGCCACGCGCGCAGCCGATGGCACACTGCGGGCCCTCGCTGGAGCGAGGCTGACGGAACTGGCCGGGACCTCACCGAGCCCCTCGGGGCCCCAAAAACAACAACTTGAGGTCAAACAGGTGTCGGAAACAATTAAGCAACACTCACGCGTAACTAGAAGAAGAACAAAAACACATGAACATAAACTTTTTGGCGCTCCGCGCGGATTTCGTTGATTCGAGCTGGCCCCCTCCCTGGCGCTCGGAGCGCGCCAGGGCCGAAGCCGGAGGCGCCGCCGTGGGGCTCAGGCGCGGATCCAAGAAATCTGCGCGGAGCGCCAAAAGTTTATGTTTACGTGTTGTTCTTCTTCTTCGAAAAACTCACGCGTAACATATGGTGTGAACTCCCACCCCCTCCCCCCGACTGCAATGTTTCGGATCTCTGGAGATTGGGTGTCGGACCAGTGGTGCGTAGACGTGCCAACTTTGAACTGCGGGGGGAGGGGGAAGTGTTGCTCATTTGTTTCCCTCAAGCGGAAGGGAGGTGCTTCGCTTCGTCTCTGCCCCATCAGCCGGCAGATTTCGAGCTCGACGGCGCGCATACGGGGGCAGGGCGGGCGGGGAGGGGGCCTTCCAAGAAGGCAGGGGGATCTTGTTCACGATGACGAAGAGGGAGCGCGACCACCAGAGTTCGACGCCTCGGCTGTGCGAGTCAAAGACGTCGCCAGGCAAGCCCAGAACGCCACACAAGCCGACCGCGAGTGCGGGTGCCCCAGGCCACGAGCTGGCTGGCCTACGCATTCGCGGCTTCTGCTTCGTCTGGTTGTGCTCCCCGTCCTCCCCATCTACCTCGTCCTCCTCTTCCCCTGCGCAGCAGAGCGCCCGGGCAAGAACTATCACAGATTGCTCTTGGTACCGCTTGGCTGGTGCCCCGCTTGTCTCTCCGAGAAGGCAGGGGGGGTATGAGAAGGGCAGCAGGGCCCTGCCGCTTCTCAGAGGCTTCCAGGCAGGCGTCTCCGAGGGCAGAAGCGGCTCCTAAGATGCGGGGCGCCTCCTTGGAAGGTGCGCCTCCCCCCGCGCGCTGCCCCCGACCCAAGGCCCGCCCAGCACTGGCCCCCGGCCCTTCCCGGACACCCCCCAGGCCAGTTCCTCCGGCTGCGCCCAGTGTGGCCGTGGGGCCCCGCTGGAGGCCCCGAGAGGGGGGGAGACACGCCGAGAAGGCCTGCTGCGCTCCGACGGCTGCGCGGCGGGGGCCCCGCGGCGCTCTTTCTGGCCGCGGTCTGCGCGGGCTTGGCCGAGCAAACGGCCGCCGCGCCAGCCTCCGCAGACCGCGCGCGTCAGGGAGCGCCTGCCAGCGCGGGGAGGTGCGGGCGGGGAGGGCGGCGGGACGGCGCGGCAGCGGCAGCAAGGGCGCGAGAGGCAGACGTGGAGCAGGGGCTGGCGGGCTCGCCTGCCTGCCTGCCAGGGCACTGCCAAAAGGAGGCCCACGAAAGGGTGCCAGTAGTCTTCCGACTGGTGCGGCACGCCGGCTGCCTTCACGGCGTGGATCATGCTCC